ATATTAATATTTTCCACCAAGAAAAGTTTCGAATTTAATGGAACATTTACATGACCTATAAAAGATAGTATATTTCAACTTCAATTTTCATAAATTGGCCTAAATTCGCCCATTCTAATTTTAACAGATATTAATTAATAAATGATTAAGGATTATAATAAACTAAGTCATTTTAGGGTTAACGAGGGTTAATTCGAAAAATGAATCCAAAATCTGAGTATTTTTCAGTTTTACACTGACTTAGCTTTATAGTCGAACCAGTCAATCTTTAGACAAAATTATAATGAACACAGAAGTAATTTTAACATAAATATTTTACAGAATCCGTTCCTGAAATATACAAATAATAACATACCAAAAGCCCGAAAAAATCTAATCAGGGGAACATTGTTCATTATAAAGATAGTTAATGGGTTAAAATCAAACGTTTTATTGCACAACTGCTCTGCTGGAAGCGTATAAATGCATGTCGTTGCCAAGTTGTTGCTAACGAAAAAATGTGAATTATAGGGTAATACGCCCGCGCGCGATCCAAAAGCGGGGAACACATAGGTTTGTCGCATCAAAGGGATCTGTTGCCGAGTGATCTCCTTCTCAATAATACCTCCATGGTTATACAGTATGTACATTAATTAAAGATAGCCCAGCTTTTGAATAAATTCTAAAGACATTTATTCAGATTCTAAATAATAAATAATTTCCATTAACTGAGGATTAAATACAGGACATACTGCACCCCCACCCCCCCCCCAAAAAAAAAAAAAGAAGGGAAAATAATAATCACCTTTATAGAACAATTTATTGAAATTAGCCAGCCAGAAATTAAAGTTTAGGATTGGTATTTATAAAGGCTGTTGGCTATTTTTACACCAGTTTTAAACAAATTCCTGATTGTGATTGGATGTTATTGTCCTACTGCAATCCATCCACAATAACCTCATTTTAGACTTGTGTAACAATAACCATTTGCAATGAAAATGTCTTCTTTCAGTTAAAATATAAATTATAATTTATTGATACAAGTAAATAAAATTTTCCAAAGTTTTCAAGTTTATACAGTAGGACCCCTATTAAGTGGACACCTTTGGAACTCCAAAAAATGTCCCCTGAATAAGGGTTGGCCATAGTGTTAAAAGATACTGTATACTTCCCCTTGTATCGTGGCCAAAAAAGTCCCCTTGATAGAGATGTCCCCTTAATAGGTGTGTCCCCTTCCCCTACAGTAGAACCCCTTCCAAAGGAAGGGGTTCTACTGTATTAGATTTAGGCCAGTATAGTTACTAGAATGTAAACTTACAACTCGTGCAAAGGGTAGCTTCCTTAATAATAGATTTGTTGTTTTCTGATACTTCCTTATTTCAAGTAGTGCCCTAGTTCCAGGTCTGAATCGCCGTGCTTGAAAGAATGAAGTAAAAATGATAACAAATTTACTGTACTAATTACATAAAAATTAAGATGTCCTATTTTATTCAACGAATAACAAGCCTAGGATCTGAAATAAGATGGCAAAACAGCAGTTAAACAACATAATTTATTATTTACATGTGACAAGAAATAAAAGCAACTGCACAAAACAAGTAGTAAAGCAGTCATAGCTTTTGTTGATTTGTTTTATATGAAAAATTATATTATTTGAATCGATGTTGTAATGTTATATATAAATTATCTATATTGTTATGTTCTCATGCTTGGAATAAATTATTGGATTTTTATGCTGAGAAATTTATTATTAAAATAATTTTATCAATAATTTCCTAAATATTATTGACAAACTGCAGCCCTTTTTATTACAGGAGGAGCAAAATGGAAATGATTATACCCTATTCAGAATAAATTCTGTTGCGTTCGGTTGCGATGTAATCGGTGGTAATCCAAAACTGATTACTCCCGATCGCAATTAACAAACGCATTCAGACACAAAACACAAACAAACTACTGTACATTCTTGGGCGTAGGCCTCTGGTGGCTAGGTCTATGTTGACTAACCTCAGCCAAACAGTCAATCTATTCAAGATCAAGAACATTCCACGTCCTTTTCTAATTATCAAATTTTTCTTTAGATTTAGTTATGAACAGTTCAACTACTTTTTCAAAATTAAGTTTGTTTTTAAAGTTAAGAATATTGGGTATTTTTTTGCGACACTTACATGAATATATGAAATACTTAGCATGCAGAATAACAGGATTAAAATGCTTATTTTCAACATCCCATGGAAATATTTTTTAAAGATAAAACCAAATGATTTTTGCAAATAATACTCTTAACATCATGCCAAAATCTAGTAGTAATTTTACAATCCCAGAATAAATGGGAAATTGTTTCTGGCCAGTGATCGCAAAAAGTACACATATTGGATTGAACAATATTGCTTTTATAGAGAAAATCATTAACTGGTAAGATGCGATGAATAAACTTATATTGAAAATATCTAACTTTTGTAGACAGTGAAGAGTTAAATGCATTAAGGTAAATTTCAGGCCATTCAAGGTCAAACAGTTGAAATCCTTACTCCATTTCAATTCAGCAGAGGGGATCTTGTACCCCACCCCCACCCCCACCCCTTCACAGCTCGGTCCACCTCACTGGCACACCATCTTTCCCCACCCAAACACACACAATCCATGGAAATGCATATCCGGCTTATTATTCAACATCACGCCATAGATTAAAATGTGCATGTGCCAACGATTTTATTCAATGTTTACTTTACAAACAATTAAAATTAAAATTTCAGGCCATTCAAGGTCAAAACAGTTGAAATCCTTACTCCATTTCAATTCAGCAGAAGGGATCTTGTACCCCACCCCACCCCGGTCCACCTCACTGGCACACCATCTTTTCTCACCCAAACACACACAATCCATGGCCATGCATATCCAGCTTACATGTGCCAACACTTTTATTCAATGTTTACTTTACAAACAATTACAAATAAAGAATGATCATATTAATTTGGTAACCAGAATTTCTTCAATTTTATGTGAAAAGTATTTTTACTTTGTTAAGTTGAAAGCTTGTTTGTTTTATTTTTATGAAAAGCCCCTACATATTGACCAAACAAATAAGGTCTTTTGCGTCAGTTAGGCCCTATAAAGCTAGGCCTAGTAGGCCACCAGTAGATAGAAGTAGCAGCACTCCTATTGTAGGTAGCCTAGGATAGCCCATGGAGTTATAATTATCCATGGATAGCCTAGCTAGCTAGTCATACAGAATTAGACCTAGCTAGGCATAGGCCTAGACGTACCGGTATTTGTATTCACGAAATTAAATCATCGGATAAGAAGACTAACCTTTCTTAGGCTTCTTCTGTGGAGACTGTACATGGCTACTTGTTAGACTCTTGTTTGTTTCACCTGTACCCGGAATTCGCCGACGGGGAGGATTTGTCGGCTTTCTCCTGCCATGTTGTTGTTTGTCATACCCTCCACGACCGATACGGGTTGGCATATCGCCGTTGACAAGCTAAGTAAGAGAAACATTAAATTGTATGAAAACTTACGTTAGATACTCTCTTTAATCTTACTCATATTATGTATTAGCTTATCAAATGTTTAAATATAATAAACGAGACTTGTATTTTACGTGAATACTTACAAATAACTTTAACTCCACACGCAAAAAAATATTTTGAAAATAACCCGCTTCGGCTTCGCCAAATGCGTTTTTGTTGAGGGCGCACACTCGGTAAGAATAAAGCACCATGTTACAACCATACTTGTAAAATTAAAATTTAAAAAGTGGTGTTCCTTGATTGAAGCATACTCCTCTAACAGTAACAGAAGGCTAGCAGCGGAAATAAAAAAAATCATCATTGTTCAGTTCAATTTTGTCATGTACATTTAAGTACTTTTCTGCTTCTATATCTTCAACACTAACTGATTATTTATTCTGATACACAAGCCGATGTTTACTAGGCCTAAATTTAATAGAATAATTACCAAAAATTAACATCCTCAATGGAATATACGTGCAATCACACACACACACACACACACACACACACACACACACACACACACACA